GTTTTAGAGAAAATGTACAGAGATTATATAGGCTCACTGAGGTCTAATGTAATCCCTAAAATAGAGAAACAAAATCTGTAAATAAGGAAACAATACAAAGTCAACTATCCTCTCCTAATAACCGGATTTTCTCCCTCCTAATATCCGGTCATACACCTATTCCACAGCTCATACTTTCCTAATTTACCGACAGTACCAATACTCAGCCCACGCTAACCACTTTGCCCACTGCTTGGGTGTATCTGACACAAAACACCGCAGATAAGTCTCTACACTGCAATTGACTACCTTAGTCTGCCCGTCGGTCTGCGGATGATAAGCCGTGCTCCTTTTCAACACCATCCCCTGCATCTTAAACAACTCTGAAAAAATGGCTCAAAAAGGCCTTATCCTGGCCCGCCACAATCGACCCTAGAATCCCATGTAAATGCACCACCTCTCGCATAAAGGCCGCCACCACTGTCACCGCGGTATAAGGGTGTCGCAAGGGTATGAAGGGAGCATACTTACTTAGACGGTCAACCACCACCAAAACTGTAAACCCATCCGACTGAGGCAACCCCTCAATGAAATCGATTGTCACCTCCTCCCAAACCTTATCCGGTAGCGATAAAGGTTGCAGTAACCATCTGGTACTATTGCTTGGTGGTATTTGTGACGCTGACACACATCGCACCTGGCTACCATGTCCTCCGCATCCTTCTTCATTCCCACCCAATACAACTTAGCTGCCAAGCGCCGGTAAGTCTTAAGAACCCCGGAGTGCCCCAACCGCACTCCCATGAAACTTCTGCAGTAACCTCGGTATATGGGGCGATGTTCTCGGAAAAACGAGACGCCCCTGGTATAATAATCGTTGCCCCTCCAAAGAATAGCCCGGATATGTAGTCTCCCTCACGCTAATGCAGTCTGGATCTTCTCCAACCCCTCGTCCACCTTAATATCTCGCAACAGCGCCTCCCAATTCATCACCAATAGCACCGATAACGCTACCAACTGCGGCTCCTCCACCCGTCTCGACAAGGCATCTGCTGCCTTATTCTCCAACCCCAGGCGATACTATATCTCAAAGTCATACCCCAATAGCTTAGACTGCCAACGCTGGTGTTCCTCAGTCACCAGCCGTTGCTCCAACAGAAACTTGAGACTCCGCTGATCCGTTCGGATAATGAAGCGTCACCCCAATAAGTATAGCCTCCACTTTTGTACGGCTAACACAATTGCCATTAGTTCGCGCTCATAAACTGACTTGAGCCGTGCCCGTGCGGTTAACACTTGGCTGAAAGAAGTGATTGGTTGCTGGTTCTGCATGAGGACTGCCCCTAGCCCGTACCCCGAAGCATCCGTCTCCACAATAAAGGGTTGGCTAAAGTCCGGTAGCCAACACTGGCACACTGGTCATGGCCCGTTTTAGCTTCTCGAAAGTCTGAGTCGCCGCTTCCCCCCACCAGAAGCTGTCCTTCAATTGCTCCATCAGGGGCCACGCTATGGTGCTATACCCCTTCACAAACTTCTGATAGTACCCAGTGAGCCCCAGAAATCCCCTCAACTCCTTCAGCGTCTTAGGTAATGGCCACTCCAGCATCATTGCCACCTTAGACTGGTCTGTTGAAACCCCCTCAGCTGACACAACATGCCCCAAATACTCCACCCTCGCCTGAGCAAACAAACACTTCTTCCGATTGGCAAACAACTGATGTTTTTGTAACTCAGTCAACACTATCTCCAAATGGCTCACATGATTCTCCAGAGAACTACTGTAGACTAAGATGTCATCAAAGAAAACCAAGACAAACTTCTGTAGATAAGGTTGAAATACTTTATTCATCAATGACTGAAAAGTGGCTGGAGCATTCGTGAGGCCAAACGGCATGATCGGGAATTCGTAATGTCCCTCATGAGTTCGAAATGCAGTCTTATGCACATCCTCTGGCCGCATCTGAATCTAGTGATATCCCGACTTCAAGTCAATCTTTGTGAACACCGCTACTCCATGCAACTCATCCAACAACTCATCAATCACTGGAATAGGAAATTTATCCAGCACTGTCTCCTTGTTCAGGGCTCAATAGTTGATGCAAAATCTCCAATTCCTATCTTTTTTCTTCACCAACAAAATCGGGCTCGAAAACGGACTCACGCTCGGTTGTATGATCCCTGCCTCCACCATCTCCTTGACCAGCCTCTCAATCTCATCCTTCTATATTTGTGGATAGCGATATGGGCGGACACTAACGGGTGAGTCCCCTTCCTTAAGCACGATCGTTTGCTCGTGATCCCGCTGTGGGGGTAGCCCCTCCGGCATCCGGAAAACCCCTTCAAAGCTCCTCAACAGCTGTTGACCCTGCTATGGAATCATCTTGTTTGTGTCTCTCTGCTCTCCTTTGAGGTTATGCAACTCGATCAAAAATTCGCTCCCCATGTCCTGAATCGCCTTCACCATAGTCTTGAGCGACACCAGAGTTTTGCATAGACTCGGGTTGCCCCGCAGAACCACTGCTTGATCCCCCAACTGAAACTCCATTGTCAACAACTTCCAATTTACCCTCATCTCTCCCAATGACTGTAACCACTTTATCCCCAAGATGACATATGTACTTCATAAATCCAAGGGAAGGAAATCCTCCAACACCTGAACTCCCTGTATCCTCAAGATCAATCCTCTACATATTCCCCTACTCTTCTCCACCAATCCAGTACCTATGACCACCCAAAAATCGCCGGTGTCTGTCAAATGGAGGCCCAATCTGTCTACTACTCGATTGGAGATAAAATTGTGGGTAGCTCCACTATCCACCAACACCACCACATCCTGTTCGCCGATACTCCCCTTTAACTTCATGGTGTGGTTCGGTGTAAATCCCACTACCGAATTAAGTGAAACTTCGGCCACGTTAAGGTGAAGATGCTCCTCCTCCAACATCTCTTCTTCCTCGGCTTCTTCCCCGCCTTCCTCATCATCACACACAGTCAGGACTTGTAGTGTTCGGTCCTTACGTCAGTGTCCCGGGAAAATTTCTCATCGCATCGAAAGCACAACCCCTTCGCCCTCTTGTCCTGAATCTCTGCCTCAGTGAGGCGTTTGAAAGCACTCCCGGACGTGCCCCACTAACCCGATCCTTTTGGGGCTCTCTCCGAAATCCCAACGTTTGAGTTTTCTGTCCTGCCGGTGGTGTGCTGTTTCGGTATGAAAAACCGACTAAATTGCTCCTATTGACTCACTCCGCTGCATTCTTATCCTCAATCATTTGTGCTAACTCCATCATTTTTCCTAACCCTCTCGGTCTCAGCAAACGCAGCGCCGCTCGGATCTCTGGCTTCAGTCCCTTCATAAAATTCCCCTCCAACACCGCTTATGAGATTTACCCTACACTGCCCGATAACAGCTCAAATTTCTCCCTATACTCCATGACCGTCCTATCCTGGGTCAGGACAAAAAACTGTTCGTGTAGATCCCCCTCTTGAGTGGCTCAAAACCTCTCCAACAGTCGGTCCTTAAATTCACCCCACGACCTCAATGGTTGTCGTTGTTCTCGCCCCTCCAAAGATAAAGCCGCCGCCATCAGTTTTTCCCTCTCTGAGAGTCCATTGATGGTGAAATAGCGCTCTACCCTATACACCCATCCATATGCATTCTCACCTTCGAAAATGGGCATTTTCAGCTTCCTTGCCCTAGAATCCGCCCCAAATTAGGTCTGCCCCGCCCAATTTCGCGCCATTGGAGGCCTCCAACCTCCCGATTCTCCTCCACTCTCCATAAATCCGGAAGACCCAGCCGAAAATCCTCCTTGCCCAGCCCCAAATTGAGCTGATAACCCTTGCCCAGCAGCAATCCCGTCATATCCGCTTCCCCTCTCACCGGAAACCCCTCCCGGCTGTACTCCCCTAAATCTGCCCTGCCCAGGCCCGAATCTTCCCTGCCCAGGCCCGGATCCGCCCTGCCCAAGCCCGGAATCACCCCAAAACGGCGTTGAGACGCCGTGCCCAGCCACCCCCTGCCCTGGCGCGCCCTAAGGCGGCGCCGAAATGCCGGACCCCGACGCCCATAGCCGTAAGCCGCCTCCTCCAGCAGCGAAACCCTCTGATCCGCTGCCCCCAGCCGCGACCAAGCCTCCCCTGCCACACCCAACGTCGAGGAAAGTCCCCCCAAGTCGTACGTCCCCTGGGCCGACCTCTGTGCCAGTAGATCTGCTGCGGGCTGTTGCCTCTGGCCGTGCGAAACTTACGGTTTCTGGCTCCCCTCCCCCTGCGTCGTCGCCGACACTGGGTTCCGTATCGCTGGACCCCTCTCCCGCTGCGCCACCATGGCTCGTTGCTGTTGTCGGTGGTGGGTTGAGGTGGAGCTCCATTAATTTCAGCAACATGGCCTCAAGGGACGAAAACTGTTGTTGGACGGTGTTAAATCGCTCGTCAATGGTGGTCTTGAGCGATCTAACCTCTGTTTTTAATTTCTCTTCAAGCCCGTCCACCTTCGCTACCATTGTCCTAGAATTTTGCTCTGATATCAATTTGATAGGTTTTAGAGAAGAATCAATTGAGATTATGACTGAATTATGGCTTATTATTATTAATCAAATCAACTAAAAGACAAATCCTGACCTACAATTCGAGATGTAGGCCAATCTCTCTAGAACTCCTAATTATTCTTAGTAACTTGATAAAACTCAGCATAAACTTAATTAACTTGCTAATGCCATCTTTATACTAAAGTTTTAAATCTATAAAATACCAAAAGACTAATCTGTCCTCCTAACCCTACGCTTAACATAAGTCTGTAGGCGCTTGGGCTTTAACATATACCAACTAGAAGTTTGGTGGTCTGGAGTACAACATAAATAAAACCTATATCCTCATTTACACAGAATATTCAAGAGACGAAAGTATTTCTTCCGTGTGGATTTGTACCACAGAGTCGGAAAAACAATCAGTGAACTCTGAATGTGTCGAAAACTTCACAATCCGCGTCTTTATAGTTTCCATGACTTCCAATTTGCTTCCAGATCCAGCAATTTCGGAAATTTCCCCCAGTGCAGTGGACCAGAAAGAAAGCTCCACAAGAAGCCAGTGCCAGTGCGAGAAAAGTTCTGTAAAAGACGGGGACATTGAAGAAGCTGTTTCTAGCATTATCTCGTCGAAGTTTCCAGAGGTATGTTCCATCCATCCATTTCTGGCAGGAAAATTCATAAAAGACCCCCCCGTTGGTCATTTAATCAGCTTTCATAAAATAGACGTATTGAAATGAAAAAAAGTGTTTGGTCCTGTGGAGTAACAAATCAACTGTCACCATGCTTTAGAGTATGGTTGTCGAGCGCATTACACGACACTCGTTGCAAGGAAAAGTTCTCCTCCAAATTGAGGTTTCTATGCCCTCAGACATGTTGATTCAGTAAGGATTTTTTAGTTGAAAGTTTGAAACTCTGTTCAGTTTACAGTCATATATTTACTTTACGTTGTTTTAGTAATATCTGTCCATTTCCAGGGATGCAATGGATGTGGCAAAAACGGCAGAACAGGAGATTTTGAAAGCAAATCCAGATATTATACATGTCGGCATTCAGCTTCGTTTGGGGAACCCAATTCCGCAATTTAACCACGACTAGCACCAATGCAAATAGTCGAGATTCTTACTCTGTTTTTGTGACATCATTATATTCCCTCATTTAATTTACAACTAGTATTTAAAGCAAAGAGTAGGAGATTTTTCTCAATAAGATGTTGATTGTATACCAAGGACTGACTTCAGCTTGAGTATATCACTGTATAATAAGCAAAACCTCGAATGATCCATGTGAAGAGATACTTGCACATTTTTGTTGCAAGTTTTTGTAACATGAATGAAATGACGTTGTTTGTTTCCCTTTTTACCCTTTCTAATAAAATGGAGATTAATTTTTTCTGGGAAAATGGTGGTTCTGTTAGAATCAGTATTCATTTACTTGTTTTTCCACCCCATTAGTGAATTCCTGTGTTCAACACCACAATGGTCGAGTTTGTTAAAGTTAAATCACCAATGAAATTCTTTCATCCATTTGAGCTCCAACGGCCAAAAAAAAAAAAAAGAATTCAGTCATGTTTGTTTAAAACACCAATGAAATTCTTTCATAAATTTGAGCTCCAACGACCCAAAAAAAAAAAAATCAATGAAAGTTGTCAAGACGTTCGACGAGCTAGAAAGGTAGAAAACGCAAAGAAAAATCCGTTTAAACATTAGAAGACATAAAAAAAAAACGAGCTGAAGAGGAAAAGTAATTAGTTAAAGCAAATACATTTAATCCAAAATTCACTTAGTTCAGAGTCATAAACACCCAATGAAGAAAAAAAGACAAAAAATTCTAAAAAAAAAAAAAAGAGAAAAATCTTAGGAACCATTGATCAGATAATTGTAGTCTGAACATTTTTAGTCAACACCATGTAATTTCGGAACAATGCATCATCATCTCAATGGCCACAACCATATTAAAACAAATACTGAATCAAACAAATAAACAACACACAAAAGAAAAAAACAATCAGAGTAAGAAAGAATTTTAAAAAAAGAATCTTGAAAGGAGAAAGAGATTGAGGGCTCAGAAGGATCCATTGGTGTTTTTGTAATCAAAAGGGAAAAGATTAGAATTTCCCTCAGAAAATAGGTAGTTTATCAACATCACTGCCTCAAATCTCTTGATGAATAAAAAGAATAACCAAACAAAAAACTTTAGATTCAACGACAATCGAAAACAATAACAACGAAAGGTGATCAAGAGAGGGGAAAAGACTATCTTTGAATTCATGTGTTTGTAAGGCTGAAATTGTGTTTATATAGAAGCAGCGTCCCAATTAGGGTTAGGGCTTTGTAATTCTTGGCTTGGCTGCCGAGTTGTAGACGATGTAAAAGGTTCATCTTAAATTACAAATTTACCCTTCGAACCCGTTTCTAGCGGGTACGGGTGCTTGTCGGTTGTTGCGGCCTGGTCCATAAGTAATGGACCCTCTTTTCTAATGGGCATGTGGTATGCACTTTGTGCGGCCCATATAGTATACATTCTTTACACGTAGAAAACTTCAAATAGTAAAGTTTAGATATAGCGAAGTTTTTAAAATAATGATTAATGTCGTTATCATTGTGATAATTGTTATGTTATTTTTGCTGTATTTGTAAATATTTTAAAATTTTATTAAATTTCAACTAAAAATTATAAATTCTTGTCACGTATTGCAATAAATAACAGGATTTGAAATTGGTTGTAATAACAAATAATTAACAGGTTTAGTACTCAAAGAAAAAAAAATTGAGAATTACAGCAAATAACAATTATTAGAAACATATGATAGGAAATTAGAATCACGTCAATATGACTGTTTTGGGGAAGAAAACGGACGTGGAGGCATTTTGAAGATTGATTTTTTTTTTGTTTATGTAAAATATACTAAATTTCTATACCCAAAATTTATACTATTAACTTTTACATCCCTTCCAAAATATGTTTGACTCCCTTGGTTTTTTTCTTGGCTTTTGACTTCATCCTCCCTTCTGCAGCTACATTGCGGAGATTTTCTCCTTTTTCATTTCAAAAAATTGTGTCACTTAATTGGGAAATTAACTTTGCACAAGCTCTAAAAAAGCCAAATTTAATAGTGGAATGAAACGTTAGCTTTTGAGTGTGTTTACCAGATTGTAAAAGAATATAATTGAAAGGCAAGAGAATATAGTAAATAGTAAATTATGAAATTAAATTAAATAAATAACATATTTTAATACTATTTAGAATAAATAATAGTTTACATGATAAATGAATCATTTATTGTGCAAATAGTTCATTAACGGTTAGTAAAAAAAAAATTTTCATGTAAATTTTCTTTATATGATTGGTAAAAAGATTTTTTATTTCAAGTAAATAAAGATTTTAAGATTTTTTACGAATAAGTTATTTTTTTACCAATCGTAGTTGAATCATTTACACAGTAAATGATTCATTTACCACTTATGCTACTATTTATTTTAAAAAGTTTAAAAATATGCTATTCACTTAATTTAATTTCAAAAATATGCTATTTACTATAATTTCTCTTGAAAGGTAATAAGATTGGAAATACAAGTAAAAGAAAAATAGAGATCATTGATTTTATTTTAGTGTTTACTTATTTATTAGATGGTAGAATGAGAAACAATCAAAATCCCTCTTTAAAGTTTATTTAAGTTAAAGTTAGTTATCTTATCGATATAATTACTGTAATGTTCTTTTAAATGATCAAATAATTAGGAATTTGCAGACAGTAACATTCTCTACACTCATTTCTTAATTCTTATATTTTGTGAAACCTACTAAACTCTCATTTCTAACTTTATAAATAAATACATGATAAGATGAGAAATAGTATGAATCTTCTTTTTTTTTTTTCCCTTTATTGTTAAGCAGACGCGCCCTTGTAGAATGCATAGTTCGAGCTAATAACCCAAAGCATTCAACTTCTAACTAAATTCATTATCAAAAGTTATTAGAGAGATTGTAATATATCTCTTAATTTAGATCACACATTTTTTAGACTGTTAAAACACGCATATCAACAGTTTAGAGAAAAAAAATCCGCCGCAGCGCGTTTATTGCGTTGCAACGGATGAGACAACACCAAATGGTGATGTCTACGCTGTCAAACCTATACTGCGCACTGCAGCGCCTCTGCTACATCAATTTTGCTGCCAAACTCGCTACAACGGATGTTTTATCCGCTGCAGCGGGGTTTCTTTATAGAAAAAATGTGTTTTGTGTGTGATTTGTAATTTGAAATGTTTCGAACTATTTCATCCATTGGTGATATGTTTTTACACATATCTGAACACTTATTAGCAATAGATATAACTGTTGTAATAGATGTATTAATCCATGAAGAGATACCTTTACATTGAAAATATACATTTATGTGAATGATTGTGATGTTTGAAGAAGATGTGTTCATTTATGAAATGACACCTTTATTTTTATTAATTCTCTAGAAATTTTACAGACTTTATACTTATTCTGGAACACAATATTATTGCTAGATATTGTGTTCAAGAGTTTGTTGTATCTTAGGAGTAATTTGTCATTAAAACTCATTAATAAACTTTGAAAAATTAGGGTAAATAAAACCTTAAAAAAAAGTATTCCGCCTCAAACCCATCTTGATTTCTGATTTCTTTTCATTCTTTTCTTCCTCTACATACAAAATTCTCCAACAAAAGTACTCCAACGTCTTGCACTAGGTATTGTTCAATAATGCATTGCAAATGATTTTACTATGACTGATCATCTCTTGATTATTAGAAAGTTCTTAGCGGGTGGAATTTAAATGTAACTTGGGAAAGTTCAAAGTAAATACCCCAGCCCCAAGCAGGACGTGCTTCAAAGAGATAAAGCACTTTGATAATTGAATAACCTGCAGGAACATATTTTCTTCTGTACTTCAGTTAACTGGAAATTTTGAACTATATAATTTTCAGTCCCATTATACCCCCAAGTATCACAACCAAATCACAATATCAAGGCCTAGTCCAACTCTCGATGGAATCCCCATGTGAGAGCTGTTGCTGCTGCTGATGCTGATGAAATGGATTAATATGATTTATGATTGGCAACCTTTGCTGTTGTTGTTGTACGGATCTCATTGCTTCCAACTGATCCAACCTTTGTTGTTCATGCAAACTGCTTGCTCCTCTTGATTCTCCAATCCCCATGAAATCCACCACTATCCTATCGCCGCCGCCGCGGCCGAACCTCGACGCCCCGGTACTTGGGCTCCTCTCCAGACCACCTTTTCCTTGCAGTACTACACTAGAATTGTTATTATTATTAGTACCATTTTCCTCTTGTAATTCCAAACCACCGCCACTACCCATCAATATTTGACCATACATATTTATTCCAAGGTTGTGATCATGATTCGCCATAGAGCCACCACTAGTATTAGGATCAAACATTTGTGACATCTCTTGTTGAGTAGTCGTGGTGTTAGTACTGCTTCTAGTATTACTAAATCCATGACCATTGATCCCTACAAGATTTGTTTGATGATGACGCTGATGATCATACACGTTGCCCGCAGAGAGGTGGTGATCAGGTCCAGCCATGCTGCTGACAAAGCTCTTTTGCGTCATTGGCGAGTTCATGGTGCTGCTGCTTGCGGTGGCGCCCATTTGGGCTGCTTTCTGAAGCAAGGCCGTGGCGGACATGTGTGCCGAGCCCGGAGACTGGCCGGTGCAGCCGTTTTTGCTGTCTTGGAGGTAATTGGTGAAGCCCGGAGAGTTGCTGGAGCATAGTTGAAGGTTTGATGAAGCCGAGGAAATGCTTTTCGGGCTACCGAAAAGCACGGGGGAGGTGCTCGAGAACATGCCGGAGCCTGCGGCGGCCATGTTGATCATGGACTTGAACGGCAGGGGCATGAGATCTTGGCCGGGATGGACGGGTTTGAGTGGGCTTTTGGGGTCAAAAGTAGTAGGAGTATTGTTGAGGAATTCGGTTGTGGTGGTAGTAGTAGTACTCATCATGGGCATGGATGGCATGAGCTGATCAGGCATTTGAACATGCAAGTCATTTGGTCCCACGTTGTTGTTTGTTGTTAGTCCTTGGTTTACTTTGTTGTTTTCTTCTGCTAACGCATCGCAAAAGGCCCTATGCGTGATAAAGCTGTCTCGCCTGCAAAAACATGGTGAAGTAGTGGGGTTAGATCGTTTCCAATACAAAATGTTAATGCTAACGCTGATACTATATTTCACATAAAAAGATGTGGAAATGACATATTTGATATGCTTCTCATTTGTACTGCAATATACAATGCTCTTTCAAATGTTATCTAGTTTTTGTCATAATCACTAAGCTAAGTTGTAAAGTAAACTTTGACTTTAAAATAATTTGATTGGGTCAATATTTATATGTTAAATAGACCGACCATTAACAATTAAATGTTAAAGTTTGACCTACGATACATTTAATGTCAAATGCACACTAAATTTATTGATGATAAATTTAACATCAAAAGTAGCATCATTTTAAAAAGTAATTTTTCTATTTAAGTTCTAAAATTTAGAGTTGACACGCTAATTTAACATTGCATTAAAGATACTCTTAGATATTAGACATATGCATTTGATTCTAAAATTACATCGAGAATGACAAAGTGGAAGGAAGATACACTCTCTCTTTACTCTAGGAGACACAAAAGCGAGAAAAAGGTTCGAGGCAGAAGGGGAGAGAGAGAGGAGTAATTTAGTGATTTGAAAAAGTATAAAGGGGTACCGAAGTTTACACAGCTGTTGTTGTCCTAATTTTTTTTGTCCAATTAATTGTTTCTAACATTATTTTGAAAATTTATTTAATTGATTAAGTAATTTTAGTATTTAGTATTTACTATGTTGTCAAATTCTTATAATTTAGCCAATATGCTAAAATAGTAGTGGAAGACAACTCCTGATTAATGTCTAATTAAACAAAAAATTGAGGACGACATCTGAATACCAACACAATTATACAAAATGTTATGAAAACAAGAGTACATCAATTTGTTGGCCATTTCCTTTATTATTACAAAAAATATATAGCACCCTCTAGTTGAAAGTTCAACAAAAAATCTAAGCCACCTACCATATCTCTACCTTATATATATAGTACCATCTTATAAACCTTAAATGTGTAGTTATTGCATAATATCAACAGTCATGCATGCAACGTATTGGACTGTCAGAAAAAAATAAAAAAGAAAAAGAAAAAGAAACAAGATCTATCAGATAAAAAAAGGAAAATTAAGCTCCAAGAAAATCAAGCACCGATGATCAGATTTTGGAACCTGGAAAAAATAGTCCCACAATCGCACTTGTACTCCCTAGTGCCACAGGTCTTCTGATGCGCCTTCCAATCAGATTGCACTGCATATTTCTTGGAGCACTTGTCGCATTTCCACTTCTTCTCTCCATGCTTTCGGCTGAAATGCTTTTTGATTCCTGTTAGGTCTCCCAAGGCCCGAGCCGGGTTGTGGTGTACGCAGGTCGGTTCGGGGCAAATGTAGACCCGTTTCTTGGTCTCCGTCGTCGTTCTTTGCCTCAGCTTCCATGGAAGATTGTGTCCTCTTCTATGCAACTGAAGGTTTTGGTCCCTTTGGAACCCTTTGTTGCATATCTCACACACAAAACGGTTTGTTGCCATTAGTGTTGTTGGTGATAGGGCAACCACCTCAGCATTTGGATCTGATTTAGTTAGAAAAAAAATAATATTTGCAATAAATCAATTAATAATTTCCTAAAAGGAACGATAAGACATTATTGACGACATGTTATGAATGAGATTTAGTAGTAAAAAAAGGGTCTTATATATGTATATTCATTACTCTGCATGATGTATATGTGTGGTTTAAATTATAATCAAACAATTAAAATATAAATCTGAATCTATATTTAGATACGTGTTTAGTAATACTCTTCAAATTTTACAGTTCAATTTATTAAAAAAGTTTAAATCACCTCAATTCGAACCACACAAACCTGATAAAGCCTATATCTTAGGGATCATATATATTTCATTCCAAATTTCAATAATATTATTGCATGTACTGTGGATTCCGTGACCCCATGCATATAGCACAAAACAGTACTTGACCACAAAAAGAAAGATTGAAAAGTGGATTCAAGCATGCAAACAGTACTTCTCATCAATTATTGCAATCTCTCAAAGCAATAATTGATCTCTCCTCTTGCTTGCAACCATTATTCAAAACCGCTAATCATTTTTTTTCCTCTTGTAAAACATAACCCATTTTTAGAAAACTCTTAATTTGTTTTTATTATGCTTTTGATTAACTGAGTCAAATCTTGGATGCGTCTATTCTTACATAAGAAGAGCATGTAAATAAATCACAACATGAAAAAAGAAAAATCATGTAACATTAAATGAAGTAGAAAGCTCTAAGCTATCAATTAAGATCTAGAAGTACTATATATAGTTAAATGATTGATGAGGGGTGTGGTCGAATTTGCCTGGAGTTCCCGGAAGATTTCTTTTCTTCTTAGGCGGCTGTTGTTGTTGCGGCGTTGGATGAGAAGAAGAATTGTTGCCGTCACTAGCACCGGACGGTAATATTCCTGATAAATTGGAGCCATGGAATTGATGATTTTGTATCTGCTTTTGCTGAGTCTCTTGTTGAACTTCTTCCCCACTGTTCCCTGAAGCGAAGCTGCCTTCCTCACCTGTGATATTTGACATGATGATGATCTTATCCAAGAGAAAATTTTTGAGATAATTATTATTACAATTATTTTGTCCTTTTACTAGACACAATCTGTTGTTGCTTTCTTTCTTTCTCTCTTTCTTTCCTGTTGTTGGTGCTCTAACTACTAGAAGTGGGGGCTTGTTTTTTTTGGTGAACTGAAAATCAGGAATTCTGCTCTAGCTAGAGGAAGACAAAAACCATGGAAATCTCCTTCATTTCAGGTGAAGAATAATTAAGAGAAGAAGTACTAAGACTGCTACAACCTAGAACTAGTTAATTAGAAGACATTGGAACCTGGTCTTCTTTGGCCTTTATATATATATTCATAAGAGACAAGGGGTAGGCAAATTGCCTTAATTTCTTAACACAGAATATGTATATATTGACATTTATGTTATTCCTCCCTCTCCCTCTTTCCTTTTCTTTTCCTTTTTTAAAAAAAAAAAAAAATTTATTTTAATTATTTTGTATTTTTTTAATTTATACATATTTATTTATATGTATATATGTAATCAATGGACTATTAGTGATTAGATTCTTAAGAATTAGTTGATGCCTCAAGGTCAAAGTGTCATTTATTAGCGATTTGATCGATGAAGAAATTATTGGCAAGTATAATTGGAATAATATTAATTGTTCTTATTTCTTTATTATATATTAGCAGTAGTACTATTACAATCATTAATCTGAGTGGGAGTATATATATTCTATTTAGGCGCTAGCTTATAAATCTTCAGCAGGGGGAAAAAAAGCCTATAAATGAAGACAATACAATAGCACTGTTTCGCATCACTTTTGCATGAAGTTATATAACTTTGTATATGCTGAAATATTTATATTAGTAGTAATTAAGCTTCAACTTTAATTAGTTCCCTAGAATATTCTTTCTTATGGATTGCCATTCATGTCCAAGTTCTTGTAATGAGCAAAAAGATACACGTAATATATGCACATATAAAAAATGAACAACTGCAATATATTAATTCTTTGCACTTAGTCTCGAAATCCATGCCCTAATTATTATTAAAAACTTATAAACGATAAAAATTTAATCTAAAATTTGGACTTTACGTGTCACAATTACCAAAACATGCGAATATGTTTTGGAGTTAATGAAGATCGCCAATTGGTTTTACTAGTCCTTATTGATAATAAAATCTACTGTTTAAAACCCATGTTCATTTTAGCTTTATAGGGCCTATGTATAATTTACCTAAAACTTTCTTATATTAGATTACTATGACCAGATATACACATATATACATGAAAAATAGAGAAAGTTATGAGATTTTTTCTGATATGCTAACTTACGGGTAAATTAAGTAGATTTAACGGTCTATATGCATAAAATCACATAAAAAAAAACGCAAATCTAATGATAAAAAAAAATCTGTCATTTCAGTACCTTAAATTTAAGAGAGAATCTCTTTAAAGTTGTTAATCTAAAATTGTCAGCCATATTTGAAACAGCCAGTCTTTTCAAATGTAATCAGCATCTATGAGTCTCTCTTAATACTGTATATGTCATGCTTTCTTACCAAACCCCAATCATGACTAGATTACCTTTGTTTTTTACCATGTATAATATTCCAATACACGTCGGTAATTATAAACTGATCCTCAATTTCAGAGCAAAAGGAAACAAACTAAAAGTGTGGATGCTGTGTTAATTGGTGCCGAACTCGTTGTTTTATTTGATACAAACGATCAAGAACAATCAAACAAGCAAGTGTCCTTTATTTAAAGTTTTTTTGTAACAAAAATATCAAACAATACTATTAATAACTGTCACAAAATTAAAGATGCCCTGTTGCTGCTTTGTTTTCTAGGTCCGGTTCAATACAATTAGTGAATAACGACATTAGCTATGTGCATATAATGATAAACAAATGCATTAGGCGAATTTTATAGTTGTATATATAGTTAGTTAATTTCAATTCTTTCAAAGCTAAATTCTACATCATATCCACACAGAAGTGCGTGTCAATTGTCAACTTACATCTTTTCCAAATTTTTTAACTCTTAGGTGACTCAATTCTTGTCATGTATATCCAAAAACTTTATATTCTATAATCTATTGATCAATATGAATTACATATATATATATATATAATATTGTACATGTTTTGGGACGGCAGTGAACGTAGATTATCTACTAGCACTAGATATAAAGTCTATACTCTAAAGTACATAATTCTCAAAAAAAAAAAATCTAAAAAAAAAAAAAAAAAAAAAAAAAAACTTAAGGAATCGGAATAATAAATACAAAGGTAAAAACTAAGTAAAGACCCAGAAAGATAAAAATATTATAAGGGAAAAACTCATACACAAAACTCCAATATTAACGGGTTTCCTAGATAATAATCACGAGCACTCTCAGACCCGAACTCTATATATCTCATAATTAATTATGTACTTGTTTTTTCCTCCTATATGTGATTTGGATGGCAATACATATATGAATAGCCTGCAACGTCTAAACTCTTTTTTTTTTTAGCTCAATAGCGTATAACTAATTAAGAACTATATAAAAATCTGAATTCTAAGTTAACTCACATTATAATTTGCATCTTATAACATGGTACGATTTTTGGAATTTTTCTTGTACTACATACGTTTTCTTTAGTTTTGTTCGTTTTGTTTAAACCTTATCTCATGAATATTAAACGAGAAGGGCATGCATAAACGGTAAAAACTTTTTTATGCTTCAATTTCCAAAAACATTACAGGAAACAACAAGCAGCCCGGCCATTATATAATATTACAACAATATTGACACAGGTTATTAATTAAATATATAATTAATGTAGTCATGAATTCAAACCAAATAATGGGCTAATTAAGTTCTAATTTCCAGTCAAATAATTTCAACAAAGAGATGCTTTTCTTTAATTCCTTCCTCTGAAAAAGTTCTACTAATATACATATAGACAAAGAAAACGTCTTAAAAGTAGCTTGGGAATTATCGATGAAGATCGATGCTTTTTATGAAGCTAGCAAATGTCAACACAAGAATGTCGAGACAATCATGTTCCAACGTTATACGGCATTTTTCATATACAACATAAACCGAACCAAATGAACAGATAGAATTGTTTAGTTAATTAAGACGACCAAAGCCGCTTATTATAATATTGTTTATAAATGCTGTCTATTTCTTAATTAACACTTGACTGGGTTTGCTAAGTATTGACATATAACAAAGCGACCCCATAGATAAATTCAACAGAAAAGACGTACGTCTCATGTTATAATGTGTTGTGTGTGTATTCGAATGATTCTTGATTTTATCAATATATTTCTCATGTGAACGTGCTATATGGCTATAAACGATAAACGACAAGGATAGTCTATAGTTTGATATAGACATTAAATTAAAATATAAAAGCAAAAAAATATATAAGGTACTATTTTAGCAATTTACGTAGTCAATGTGATCATGAAGCACCAACTTTCTCCATTGGTTGTTACAAAATATTAATTACCAAGCACGGCATTGATGATGTAAATTTTCATAAGATAGTAATTTAGTAAGAAATTCGGCCACCGCACATAATATTTAGGCGTCCAAACATAAACTGCAAATATATAATGTTGATCAATTTTAGGCATACTAAAATTTGGACTTAGGGCTAATCTTGAGGAATTCTCCACCTCCATTAATAGGGCTTTCAAAGAACTCAAACCTCCAAATTAAAATATCAAATGTCAAATAAATCATCCATACTCCTCAAATTTTAATTATATATATATATATATGCTTAAATAGAAAAAAAAAAGATTACCATTGATTTTGAATCCCCCAAAATATAAAATACCCACACTAACCCACCAACAAGATGATTTTTTTTTCGAACTTGAAGTGGGAGATCTGAACTCTCCACCTCATGGTGAAGTTATAAGATGTGAAATTATCGTTAAATTATACCTGTAACCACTTAACAACACTCAGGCTACTAAGGAAAAATAAAGGAATAACAAATGACTAATTTCATATTCTAACAAATAATCGAGTCATTCAAAATATAAAATAAAAGGAATTAAATTACGTTAACCTTAAACTAAATTAAAGCCAAAAACTAAACATAAAATATCCAAAAACTAATAAAAAAACCGTATTGGCCAATACCATTCTACCACGCTTTCAAATTAACGTCCATGACGATCAACGTTATCAACATAAACTTGGCGACTTCTTTACTATTAGCATGTTAATCGAACCTATAAACAATCGCGTCAGTGATAAGAATTTATGAGTTAGTACTATAAATTGACTATAACCAAATGTTACGTTCCGTAACCAATAAAACTAAGATAGATGTAGACATATCTAAGGAGCCTTGACCTTAATTGATGATTTGATGTGATGATTTTTGAGGAACTCAAACATTGCCATGTTATTTTACCTAACTCAAATTACAATTCAAACTTTTTATTACAGTATTTTCTTTCACAAAAATTCAAATTTAACTTTTTTATTACAGAATTTTCTCTCATATACTAAACTCAAGTTCATAAATCAAATTTGAGAAAATAACATACATAATTGGTATGTCTCATAATCCATCCACACCACTCATATTTTCTTCATACTATAGGAAATATATTACAACTTAGTCTCTAAAAATAAGGGAAACACTAACCCGTTACACTAGCCCACCAAAAAACACGGGCATATTACTAGCTAACAAATCAGAATTGACTCATCCGAAAAGTAATAAAAGGAATTAAATAGCATTAACTAAAATAAAAGAAGCCATTAAAAACTAATACTAAACATAAAATACCATATGATTGAAACTAAATTTCGGCTAATTTGAAACCCTAGTTCTTATAAAAGAAAAATCGTTATCTTGTAAATATTCACACCTTAGATATTTGAAAATTCTTTTGGGTCAATTTTATTGAAGAAACAAAAAAAAAAAAAAGAAATAAAATTTTTGTTTTGAACGGAAAATGAAAAAATGAATTGGCTGTCCATTATTTATAATTTATTGTAGAATATTTTAAAACTATTTATCAGTACTCGTTAAAATATAAAAACTATTATTGACACACTTCTTAATAATTTAAGTTTTTGGGATTGATTGATAAACTAACATAGTATCAAAGCGAGAGGTCTTGGGTTCAAACCTTCATAATTGTATTTTTTATCCCCATTTAAAATTGAGAGAATGTTAAAATATAAAAACTATCGTTAGCTCACCTCTTTACACTTAAATTGTTTAGATAAATTGGTAAACTAACAAATACTCTTCATTGTTGAATAGCTGGATTCGAGATAAAGGAGACGAAAATTATTACGTGCTTTGAAAAATCTATATGATGTAAAATTTTCGTAGACGACACGCATGTATACAAGCAAAACCAAATGAAACAAAAACGATACATCGTTTGTCGTTTTAGGATGGACCTGATTTTGTTATTATTAAAATTTTCTTCTTGAAATAAAAGACATGTTTCACTGTTTCCTGTTCCGGATGCATCACATAAGCATCGACATGTTATTTCAAGTTATTGATCACACGACAGGTCGTTTCCTCGTCTTTAAGCGACGTGTTGTTTTCAATTCAAGGCTACGCCAAACATGACAATATCAATATGCCGCTTTCTTTTTAAAACGACGTGCCTTTGCCGGAGTTAATCGGATGGAAATCCCTAAAATTTTCCCTTCCTTCACAGTAGCAAAAAGAAATAGGATGTGTTTCTCTAGTTGAACAACCACAAGTTAAATCTTTCTCCACCCCCACCAAAAAAAAAAAAAAAAAAAAAAGTTTTACACGACTAAAGTTTACGTCATTCAATACTATATAAACGACAAGTCGTTCTCATGATGAAACGAGAGGAAGAGTTTGGTTTGTCAATTGATATATTATAATTCGCAGATGACATGTTGCCACTTTCTTTTCCATGTCAAAGACACCTTTTTTTTTTGATGAAGAAGTCCGAGGAGAATTCAAACGACATGGTTTGCAAAGCAAATGGGATATGGATTTCTAGTTAGCATTTTGCACTTTGTTTTCTGTTTATATTTTAAGAGACTTCTTTAGCAGACCAACAAATATGGTAAAAATTATACCAGAGAAGCAGCCACAAGTTTTTGTACATTCATTCATTGAAGTGGGAAAAATTTTTAAAACAGAACAACAAAAGAGAATTTAAAACCAAAACTCCAAATGTAGGAGTAACCTCCAAATTTTTGGCAACAAGATATGGAAAGACAAATAGCCAGATCAAATGGAATGAGAACAAAAATTAACACTAGAATTTAAATCCCGGGGAAAAAAATACTAATATGATTCATGCTAGGCAGGGTTTGGCCATTCTCTTGCTCCAATTTAAACCACACTCTAGCTACTATTACTACAAACCATACACCATTATCCTATGTTGTATCAAGCCTTTGAGTTCTTTTGTGAAGGGACTTTAACCCTTTTCCATGTCCTTGTGTTGGAGAACTCATCTTCAAGTGCTTCCAAGGCTCTTTTCGTCATCGGCCGCTCTCTTATGCCTTTCCTTCGACTGTCAAGCACAGGCTGATTGTCTTCACTAGTCACATTATCAGCTAGCAGATTCAATGTCCGAGGAATATTCTGCCTTGTTTCTTGTGATGGAGATGATGATTTTTTCATGTCTGAATCACCATTGTTCTGTAACTTGTCTATGCAAGGAATGTTCAAGTCAATCGGTATCCTCTTTTCGCGCGAACCGTAACTGTTTTGTGTCATGTCTGTCTCGGTTTCTGGTGAAACATAGGGAATGTTCAAGCCAAATGTATGTTTCTGAGGTGGAGACTTTACTGAAGTGACTTCTCCATCCAATCGAGCATCGTGGACAATGCCCCCGTCGCTCCCATCTCTGTTATCGCCTTTCCCTAATGAGCTAATAGCTGATGAATTCCTTGATTGATGACAAGTAGATTCCTCTCCATGGTGTCCCTTTCCAAAGAGAGATTGTTTTTAGCTCTGCAGTTTGAGTTTTCATGGTTATTACTAGTTAAATTATTCATTCCACTAATCAGGTGCTTCTTTGCTGGACTTTCTTGATCTTTCATGGCTTCCATAACTGGCTCTAGGCCATTAGTTGAGTCATGAAATGTTCCATTTCCAGAGATGTTTTCTGCATTGTCTTCTGACTTCTCAGATGAAATTTCTACATTATCCACACTGGTAGTTTGAGCAGGTAAATTCCTGACTTTTCTGAACTTGAGCGATTTCGCTTCGTCAAGCATAGCACTAGTATCCATAACCGTGAACTTCTTTCGCCCAGGTTCTAGAGCTTGCTTCCTTTGGGACCCGAGAATCGTCGGCTCAGATGCCACTTTGTTAAGAACATCAGTAACAGAATCAAAGTATTGCTCGCCTTTAACAAGTGTACTTGAAAACTTATGAACATCATACACAAGAAAAACCAAGGATTGGTCTAGTCCGAGCGTCTTGTGATCCTTCACTCGCTCTGAGTGCCAGCCTTTCGCCAATAGGCGAGGCCAAACTGCTTTCCAGAAGATTTCTTCAAACTGGGATTTTCTTAACCTTAAATTCCCTTTTAAAATCTTGATAACCTCTGCATTGGTAAGGGAATAGTAAGCATTGGTAAGGGAATAGTAAGCATTGGCCAATACCAACCGCTTTTACAAGTATTTTGATTCCAACAATATTCCTCAAGGTGAATATATAGTCTTTAAATGAAAGTTTTCCTCTGGAGAAATTAAGGGAACTCTGCAACAGATTACAGTTATTCATAACACATCAGTAATCATTAAACTGTTACAAGTTCAAAGAGAAATTTCTCTTATTCATTAGTGTAAGAAAATTACAATTTGACATCATTACATTTTACTATTTACTCATCTACTTATAACATGGTGATTTCTAATACTATAAAAGAAGAAAAATACCTGAACCAGTGCATCATGCAAATCCTTTGATACAAGAGAAAAAAATCGCGCAAACAACTTCTCATGACGCCACCCAATAAATATCTTCTCACCAACTGTTAATTTACCAATTCATCCCAAAAGCTTAAGCTATTAGGAGATGGGCTAACAATAGTCTTATACTTTTAACACTCCCTCTCATGTGTGAGCTGAATAATGGGCAATCGTGTAGGTAAATTAATTGAAAAGCCCAATACATGAATATTTAAACCCGAGATATATTAAAGACCCAACACATGATGACAATTTAAATAGGAATAAAGAGTGCAATTATGGAGGTTTGAACTCATGACCTCACGCTCTGATACCATGTTAGTTTATCAATCCATCCCAAAAGCTTAAGTTATTAAAAGGTGGACTAACAATAGTCTTATACTTTTAACACCAACTGCTATAGGAGGATTAATTTTGAGTTTTTTCACGCACTTCTTAAAAAAAAAGGAATCTGAGATTTCCCTCATTTCCATAGAACTTCCCATAATAGAAACGCTGTATATCCCTTACTTCCTTGTTAGTCCCAATAAGCTTCTTCAAAAGAATGAAATCTTTTTCGGGGAAAATATACATACCAAGGAGTAAACTCTCCTACTCAAGATCTGTCCAGGTAACTCCCAAGGAGCTGTCAGCACTTGAATCCAAATGATCATTTATGATCTTATCATTTCCCAGTACTTCAGGTTTAAGTTTTTGAACTTTCCATTTTCGCGATTTGGTGAAGAAGAATTTGGAGAAAGAACACACATTTTTCCGTACCGAGGGGTGGAATATCTGCCTGGTACATTTTACCAACACGTGAAGAAAAGTTTCCTGGCTTCTTCTTCAGAGCTTCTGATTTTTTTCATTCTGGTGAGTGTAAGTGGAAAATGTACCTGTTGGGATCATTTGTTAACATTGCAGAAGAACTTGATCAACTCGGAAATCGGAATGAAGAATATGATCATGGGATTCTCATTAATTAGTAGATGAAAGTGTACTTTGATAAGAAAATATTTACTGAGGGTATGTAATGTATATACCCTGAATTTGGATAAGCTTCTGTTTCCTAGTACTGTATATGTTAATGAGATTTCTCTTTTGTCTTTGTGATTTAATAACGAGAATTAGATCTTCTCGATCAGAAGTCCACAATCTGCAAAATGCCAATGTGATCGGTTTCTTCTTCTCTTAATTCATCATGAGTATATAGTATATATTGTTTAACACGAGCAAATAAAATCTGATTCAGATTAGATAATTGGAATTTTATGTAGAGATATTACACATTCTAAAGTTTTAAATTTTACCCTCTAAAGACAATGAAGTATTAATTTTGCCAAACCATACGTCCCATGAAACCTATTTTTTTTTTCTTTTTTTGGTTCAGTGGTTAAACAAAGACATCGAAAGAAAAGGCTAGCTCTTGTATATATGTACGTATCTGGTGAAAGAAAATCAATTTCTCGTATTATTTACTCGTCACAAAAATTTATAAAAAAAAAAGAAAAAAGAAAAAGAAAATATTTTGGGAAGTAAAATCCACATGGAAATTTCCAAGATAATGCATGAAACATGACACACACACACTATCTTCATCTTCATCGTAACCTAAAAACCAAGATTTCTAAAATCGGACATTATTAAAGAAGAAGTAGAAGAGGAGAGAGAAATAGAAAAACAATCCTCGTATAAGACCATTCATTGAGCACAGAACCTCAAAATATTATAATTATATGGAAAAAACGTTGAGAAGAAAAAGAATATACACACATGTATATATGGAAAGCTAAAGTTCTTTTTTCTGTCGAGAGAGAGAGAGAGATTTCTACGCTTCATTTTTGGTATGGGAGAATTCTGCCCTACCAAAATAATGCAGCTCTCGATTTTTTTATTTATTATTTATTTATTTTACGTTGTTGAGTTTAGAAATTGTTTGATTCTAATACTGACATTAGTAAATGCTATTAACAGATGTTCCCTATAAAAAAACTCAAAAGTACTCCCATTCATCATCATCATCTCTCTCTTTTTATTTTTATTTTTTTAATTTCGTCTTCGTCAGTACATCCCTTCAATATTTCATCGAGTAAAAATTAAGCCACAATTTTGAAACGTTTTTATATAAATTAACATATTTTTGAATCGATTGAAGCAAATAGCTTATTTAATAGTAAATATTTATTTATCAGGTGTGAATACATTATTTGTTCCCTGAATAAATAAATATATCTATAAACATATTATTTACTTGAAGAAGGTTTTAAAAATATGTTATTTTTACTCCATGTGCGGTATGATATGCCATATTGAACTTGGGGCTCTCCACTATTCGTAGATGAAAATGTCCATGACATCTTCTACACTTTCACGATATTATTCATATTTTAAAATCTCGATATGGATATAAGGGGAGATATATTCTTCTTGGCGTGCCTATTAAATATCCACAATGTCTAAAAAAATTCGTAAAATATGTAAATATCCGTAAATAACTAGGATATTTTTGGAAATGTCCAAAAACCTTGGAATTTTTTTTTAATAAAAATCAATTTTATAGCGCATTTTTCATATTTTTTCAATAAAATGTGACTTAATTAGTTTTTAAAAAATTTCCTTTTTAAATAAACTATTTATAAAAAGACATGGTGTGACTCAATTGAGTTAAACTAATGAGGATTCTATAGCCATGAGTTTTGATTCCACGAGCTTAGGAACATAGCAATTTTCATATGGCTATCCATACAGTTCCCACATGAGAATCTACTTCAAAAGTACAAAACTAAGATGATTTGTATGATATATTAGTGTATCCTCCACCACAGATCAGTGTTGAAGTGTAATTACATATCCTTGAAGACTAGTAATCAAGTTCGATAACCAACAATATCCAATTTATGGGTTAATAATGGGAAGAGATTAAGAAATATACATGTGGAACATCAACAACTACACCCAGAATTATTCAAAGATAATATTTTGGCAAATGTATTATTTAGATCAAGATCGGAACCTACTTAATGCTTTCTAACCTGCTATAAACTAGTTTTGGTACAAAAGCACTTTAAGTCTGTGTGTACTATTAGTAGTTAATTTTTATGTAGTATATTGAATTATTGTACCTTGTTTATAATGAGTGTGTAAAATTATATTTGAATCATAATCCATATATAATTATAATAATTTCTTACTATACTATTCAACATAACTCTCATATTCTAATAAAAAATGTAATATTTTTGTTATTGAAGTAGTTTAAATTAAATAATATTAATTGTTTTAGCATTTTGTACACTTTCAATAAAAAAATTTAAAGTTTTTTCAAGGTATCTATTTTTTTTCTAAAATATCCGTCAACATCGACATTTCTGTCGATATTATCCACAAATCAAAACCTCGACTACTCCATCAACACCGACATTTTCATCCATTCCACTACGTAGTGGCGCTATTAGTTTCCATACATTCACCCTATCCACCATTTGACGTCTTCTAAGGCAAATGGAGACCATATACAAATACAACCACAACCCTTGGATATATTTTCGACATAAAATGAAAAACACACGTAAAATAAAAAGAATGTCTGTAAGACACTACCAACAGCATACTGGGAAACTGGCAATAACCCACCATTGATCAGTAATGTCCTACTATGATACTGAAGGTAGTCTGATATAACACTGGAAATTCTAGCTGTCGATGAATTTTTTCCGCAATCCACTGCACTACCAAAAGTAACCTTCGGTGATACCACTGATTTCGGTACCAAAATGCTAAACAAAAATCACACAAAAAAAAAAAAAAAAAAAAGAAAGAAAACCAACTAAAGAGAAAGTGGAGTGAGGCCAGGAGCACCACAGAAATGACAAAAATTCTGTTGCAACGATAAGATTTCACAGCACCGTAAGGAGCTCGCCTCGTGCAAGTTATCGGCCCCAAGGAGCTGACTGGATCTTCCCAGCAAGATCTCCTTGACACCATGAGGAGCTCGCTTAGAATAGGCCGCTTCAAGTGTTGCGAGGTCATTGTTAGTAAGATCAAATTTCAAAATTGAAATGCACCACCGTAGGTGATGGATATCTCATTATCTCTGACAATAAGCGGAGATCACACTGGTAGAGGGGCAGCGGGAAAATAGAAAGAGAGAAAAAGAAAGAAAGATCGCTAAAACTTTTGACACCAAACATCATTAACATTGTTAAGATTTTTAACTTCGAATTTTGTTAATTTTTTTTAATAAAAAAGGATCGTTGAAGACTAATTTTGAGCTTTTACAATTAATTATTATTATTTTTATTTTTTGGATTTGAAGGTTGGGATTTGAACTCTATGTCTCAAAATAGAGTCTGTTGTAGATTAACCGGAAGGTCAATCTAGAGATTTAATTGTAACTAGTAAATCGACTAATAATATAATAGACGCATTATACATACATAACGTACATTATGTGTACCTACAAATGTGATATGTGTGTAAGTGTATGTGTGTAAGTGTATGTGTATGATGTCTCTAGTACTTTCCCCCTTCCATCTATCGGTAATGACAATTACTTTGAGTCTCGACTAATATTATACGGCATATCAAAGCCCTAAATATTGGCCACTTTGATACAAACCACTTAAGGATCATAATCATTAAATTGTAAGAAAACATGCGGATACACTGAGCTATCTGCAAATCCCACAAATCTGATACGATATTAATATTATAAATTAGGAGATATGTACACTGTACAGTTGACAAAGAACAAACAGGTTCCTTTTGTCTTTGTCATATAATTAATCTGGTATTAATCTTGGATGACGTTGCATGAATATTAGCACTTGTGGTAACCAAAATTTTCATAATTAAAAAAGACAAAAAAAAATGTCAATCATCCATTTTTTTTATCTATAAAAAGTAGTACCGAAAGAACTAATTAAAACATCGGAATTAGCTGGTAGTTTAAGCTAGGAGATCGTTGAAAAACAAAGCAACAAAGAAAAAGAACGGCATTATTGAATAATTAATATATTTTGTTGCTTAAGATATATATTTAGAGTTTATGAGCATTGGATGTCCCTAGATTCAGAAAACCTTAGATTAGATCAGATCAGCAAAGATGCCCACTAGAGATTTAACCAAGTGAAAGGCGGAATCTTAACAAAAGTGGGAAGCTGGTCCCAGATATGCATACCAACTTGGTACATATAATTAGTTAACAAATATACCACTCATTATTAGCTTGTTGTGGTGCGAAATCCTTAATCATTATGCATATTTACGTGCAAATGAAAATTAACCCCACTAATTAATTAGATCATCTTTAATGTAAATGTTAATGTATACCAATGTCATATTTAATATTGGAAAATGTAAAAATGACATATTTAATATGTTATTTTTATTTGTACTCTTCTAAAAACTAAATAACAGAGATAGACGTATTTTTAAATCAGTGCATATTTACATAGAGCTATCATGATTATGAAGGTGTAAAACAAATAATAACTACAATTATTGACAGCTAGTTTTTCTGCGTGATAGAACACAGTCAATTGTTTTTTTAATTAGCTAAACAAAAGTCAGGTTCCAGATCATTAAAGCTTTTAATTGCAAGAAATGCCATTCCCATTAGATATTAATATATCTTCAGCTTTTACTTTTATTGATCATTTGACGTTGAAAGAGTCTTAATTAATAAAGGTTGTATTTTTCATTAAGCATGGACCACAAACAAGTGATCATTTTCTCTAAACAGTGGTTCCACGAGGGTGTACGGTCAGTTGAAGAAAAAGGTCCAATTATATTCACTGAACTTTTGTTAATTAATGCAAGTAGCGATGACCTTGGAACATATATCACGATTTGGTAATATAAAATTCGGGGGATATTTATTCTTTTAGCAATGTTAATATTCCTTTCTAATTATAAAAAAAAAAGTTAATATTCCTTTCTATACAGAATATGGGGGTATGGAGAAAGGTGTTAATATAGTAATGGTGGTTCTATTTACACATTTTTTTCTACTTTTTATATACACTTTTTATATACACACTTCACTTAATTTTAAAAGAATTAAATTTACTTTTTACACACCGTTAATATCCAAAATTACCCTTTAACTATTTTTATAAGATTATTAATTCTTAAACATATTATTTTTCTTTCCGCACCCACCATTTTATTTTAGTTTGGCATTTTGATATTATCATTTCTTTATTTCTCTTTTCTTTTAAAAAAGTTTTGGACATGAAGTTTTTTCTCTTACATAAAGAAAATTTACTGTTGCATTTTTTAAAAAAAAATAAAGGACATAAATATAAGAATAATGACAACATAATTGTTATATCTATTGAGGTATTGATAAAAAAGACAAAACGGGAAAAAAAAATAGAGAGAGACAATGAAACATAAAAAGAATAAAAACAAAAACAATGCAACGTTATAAAAACTAAAGGCGAAAATGAAATGGTCATCCTTTAATTAAAAACAATATAATTAGTAAAAAAAAATAAAATTTGGGATAATTGTATGTGGGTGTGTTGAAAGAAAAAAAATATGTACATGTAAAAAAATATATGTAATTACTTTTCTTTTATAATAAAATTTGATTATGTAATTAAGTCATGATAATTGTCTCTTTTTTTTATCATTTTATGTGAGGGTCCTTTTGTCATTAGGAATTAAAATTTAAAAGGGGTGTGGAGAGTAAAAAAAAGGTGTGTCAACAGAACCACACATATAGTAATATGTATAGTACATTTCTTCATGAATCACAAATTACATACATACAGTACGTATCACAGTCATAAGAACAAGAAAGGATTTCACGACTGTTTTTAATGGTGATGAAAACTTTTTATGACCCTTTTTTTTCATGACCATTTAAAAGCGGTCGTGAAAATCTCATCACCAAAATTAGTCTTCATATTTAATGATGGTTTTATAACTGTCATAAAATGTATGCATATGATGTCATGGAGTTAATTAGACTTTTTACGACTTTTTATTTTATTTTATGAAAACGGTCAATAAAAGTGCCACTATATATTAATTACATAAAGTAACACTGTTAATGGCAATTTTTGCAGAAACTATTATATAAAAAGGCCTATAAAAATTATTTATAGTCAAAATCAATAACTCTTTACTCAAACAACAATTTCTTCGATTCTTCATAGATTCAAAAAGCTTTCAAATTTCAGCGAAATTTAGAAGAGATGAAAAGATTTCTTTTTGAAGAGTTTTTGTAAAAAGGATTTTTTTAAGGGGAAAAAAGAATGCTCGAAATCTTAAAAGAGACGGACGAAATTTAAGCAATTTGTGAGAGGCAGAGAAATTAAAAAAAGAAATAGAAACAAACAATTCACTTTTTTAACTATTCAAACTTTTGATACTTTTAATAACGAGTATTAAAAAACCGTCACTAAATCTTAACTCTTTCTCGATACCATATTTTTTGTTTAGGGATTTTTAAGGAAGGTTTTTAATAAAAATCGTTAAATATGCTAGCTAGCTACTTGATTTTCTAACATAATTTAGCCTTAGCCACAGCCGTCCATCATCGATCATTGATAACATTAGTTTGTTTTGTTTGTTTCACATATAGTAACCATGTTAAAAAAAAAAACAAAACAAAACAAATTACATTATGAAGAGACTTTCAAATTTCAATTATAAATAAGTATTAAAAGCTGAAAACGAAAGACAAATCAGGAAGTAATGAAGAAACTGACCGGTAATTAACATGGTAATGGCAAATATATAGTACTGTTTGGACGTTTCTGCACATGCATGGAACAATTCCATGATATTATAATATATATTCTAAGTTCGAAGTTCAACCTTGCTAGAGAGATGAAATTTGGTGTAGCTGTATATAATATTATAGGATTAAGAGGATATGTATAAATATATATATATATATATAGCCTCATAAACAAAGAGGCTGCAGGATTAATTAATGTTGATGGATATATATTTTCTTCTTCTCCTTGCGGGGGCATGTGCCTTTTTATCTACTTAAAATGTAAAGTATTGTCCAATTTAGTAATCTAGGTTTCCGTTACTCCTCGTTCATCAGTTTCATTTGTTGTATATTTTTTTCTTCTAATACTAGTTTAGGAAACTTATTGTCTGTGTATTTGTCCAATAAACCTAATTATATAGACTCCTAATAACGAAAAGTACAGAAGTTGTTTTTTTAGTAGAAAAGTACAAACCCTGCTTAATGCATGCTATATAAGAATGCTTGGGTTAATTAAGATATATTACCTGGAGACTATAATTTAATTAACAGTACAAAAGACTTTTATGTTGTCGTGGTCTAGTGCACATGTTTGCTTTCCTGCTATTCACAAGCTATTTACGAGCTCATGACATTATTATTATTTTTTTAAAGTATAATAATATTGCAGCTCATGACTTATTAAATTGATTATGTTCATCAAAATAAAACTAGTACTGTCAATATATATTGCGTGTTTCTTTTATCCTGGTTTGTTTGCCGATGATTTTATGGAGGAATTAATAAAACATTTAACGTGAACTTGGAAACAAAAATCTACAATCTTAACAAACAGTGATATTGCGTGTTTCTTTTATCCTGGTTTGTTTGCCGATGATTTTATGGAGGGATTAATAAAACATTTAACGTGAACTTGGAAACAAAAATCTACAATCTTAACAAACAGTGAAAATAACTTATCTTAATCTATTAATTGATAACAAAAATTCCTGAGCATAATTTATCACTTTTGGTTAAGAACTGTTTTGTTTTTGTCTTTAAAAAAAATCGTCAAGTACTGTTTTTATTAGTTTTTATTAACAAATCTCTCTCTCTCTCTCTCTCTCTCTCTCTCTCTCTCTCTCTCTTTATGTGAGATTTTCATGTGGAAAGTTGATTTAGGTGTTTCTAATTATATAAAGATTTCAAAAGCAAAGGAGCACTTCTAAATTACAATATAATTTTTTTGAACTAAAAAATTACAAGATATTAAAATTTTGGAGGAGATGCTTTTTTTGTTGTTGAAGGATATGCCTTGTTCCTTGCTGTTATTTATTTATTTATTTTTTTTATATGAGAAGTTTCTCTATATGTGCTTTAGCTCAAGACTATCTGGAATAAATTTTAAGAGTCATTTTCACAGAGTTGGGTGTGGAAGGTTTAGCAGGGATATTAGTGATCATGATTATGACTCTTAAATTCATTTGTACCACGTATAATGTTTGCAAATTTCCACTATGCATGCTCTATATGTAACCTCCACGTGTTAATCCTATATATATATATATATATATATAGCCTGCAAATAATGCTAACACATTTCCTTAGGCAAATATTAGATCACCATGAACCGGTCAAGCAGATTGGTAGGTACGTGACGATTACTTTAATTTTTTATTAATTATTGATTTGATGTTGTATAGAGTGACATAATCTCATGTAGAATCCTATACTAGAACCGCGTTGATCAAACATAATTAAGGATTTTAGTTTATTAGTCCCTTCTTTTTAGGTCTTAATTTGGTTGTATCTACTACAACTATCACACGTGCATTTCTTTTAGCCCACAAATTCAAATTTGTAAGCATTTTTTTAAAAGCATAGTTCAAACTTATTGAGAGCATTAAACAGATCAAAAGGGGACCATTTATCCATTTATAAGTTTGAGGCTCTTACTTTAAATTAACCAATTAGGTAGTAGATAGCCAGTAGAAACCCTACACATCCACATATCTAATTTTTTTCCCCAAAAGATAAAAAATATTTTTTTTTCTTAATAAGATCAGAAACAATCTAATTGATCATAGTTGTTACGATTAAAAAATTGTCAAATACTCATCAATTTGTGTCAATGTCTGCCACGTCATCATGTCGCCAATCTACTTTCCTAATCTTCGAGTTCAAACTAATCTCACTTTTTTGTCCCATTTGATTCTCTCTTTAATGAAATTTTAGCATCTCATTAATTAATTGTTTAGGTATTTTTATTTTTAACTTCTTTTATATGCTCAAATTGTTAAATTCAAACCATATATTATAAAAATAATAGAGAAACATCAAGAGAACAGATCTAGACTCGTTGTCTTTACCAAATTGTATGGCGTACATACACATCAATAGCAGTTATGCGTGTGCACACATATATGCATATGTAAGCTTTTCTATATAAAAGCAGCGAGTTAGCAACTGAGAGGAAAGCAACGTGTCTTCTTTTGGCAGGATCAAATTAGGAAATTTCTCCTTAATTTTACAGACATGGTTGATAATAATTTCGGCATTAACACTTCAGAGAGAGATCATCATCATCATCATGATAAAGGGTTTAACTACAAGTACACAGCTGCAGGAAGCGCTAGTACTAGCTGTGAGGATATTGGAGTCATCAAAGAGCAAGATCGGTTGCTTCCAATAGCCAATGTTGGGCGAATCATGAAGCAGATTTTGCCTCCCAATGCCAAAATCTCCAAAGAAGCCAAGGAAACCATGCAAGAATGTGTGTCCGAGTTCATAAGCTTCGTCACGGGAGAAGCCTCCGACAAGTGCCACAAGGAGAAGCGCAAGACGGTGAACGGCGACGACATTTGCTGGGGCCTAGCAACGCTCGGATTCGATGACTACGCCGAGCCCCTCAAGCGGTACTTGCACAGGTACAGAGAAATAGAAGGAGAGAAATCATCAGCTCACCAGAACAATAAGGCGGCCAGCTCTACTAATCACGAAGAGATCAAGATTAACGAAATTTCGAATAATTATGGAGGTCATGAAGTCGTCCTCGAAAACGATCATGAAGATATTGTCCCAAATTCACGTACTTTCAATTTCAATGTGGTTGATGAGAGGAGTAAAAGCTCTTTCCAAAAAAGATTTTGAAGGGAATTTCAACATTTACTGGTACTCTCTAAACTTCTCATCCTATGTTAATTATAAGAGATATGATCCTATGATGATATTAAAAGATAATCATATATAAGTGGGCATGTGGGTGATGGAAGAGGATTAATTTTAGGCTTTTTATATATAATCTCTCTTTGGGGGGGATTAGAACTCGGTTTATTTCTTTGGTTTTGACTCATCATGTTAATTAGGAGCTTTAATCTAGAATTATGTACTGAGATTTGAATGACTATAATCCTTGTATCTTTCTTTCCAAAATACGAGAGATTTGGAAGATGGTTGTATTGAGATATATATTCTTCATCATTTTGTGTATCAATATGCCTAATAGGATAAATTTCTCTCTGGAATTATAAGGTAGCTTTGGGTCAAGTACGGTAGCTAGCTTGCTGATCTTCTTCTCTTTCTTAACCCTGATATATTCAAGTAACAGGCATTGAAATTAAGATTCTAAAGAAGGGGATTTTTTTTTTATCAATTTTATTAACACACTTTATTAGCGGAAAACATTTAGGGGTTTTTGAATTTACAATATTCAAACACTAGATATGAATCTCTGCATACGAATTAGTAGTACTTTTGGATTTCTTTAATTAATTAGTCAAGTTTAAGGATTAGGGTTTGTGGTCTTTTTTCTTAAAAACAATTTCAAGTGGCAATTACATCAAATTAATTTACTCCTTTAATTTCTATCTTTTCTTTCCCATGGATCTAATTTTCTTGATATCTTTTTAATTCAATAAATAATAAGAGAGAACAACTAAGATATCACGAGAGTTCTCCAACCATATCAAGCTCTCCACCTCTACTTATTAAAATAAGAGAAATTGTGTGGGGTGGCCATAAAATCTCTACCCATTTAACTTAAAAGTCTATTGTTTTTCTATTTAAAAAATATGGCCTAACCTTAGAAAGTGTTTTTATAACATTCCAATAATAACCTGGTGGAGTCATTTACCTTTCTCTTATGTCCCGTATCTCGTTCTCTCCTTTCTCTTTCTCTACTAACCGGAGATCTCACGTCGTGAAGCTGGAGGTCGGTTACGGAGAAACCAGATCCGCGGTGGATGGATCTCTCCTCCCTTTGTTGTTCTCGCCTGCAACTGTGACGGCGATGACAATGAACCAGATCCGCAAGGCCATTTTTGTCTTTTTGGTTTAATCACTAATTACAACCGGCCATTTCACTAATTTAGAAAACTTATGGTCATTTACTTTTTAAAGGATATTAGATCAGCCATTTTACCTCTAAATCCCTTAAAATAAAATAAAAATGAAAACGAGATTAAATATACAAAATACATGCAAAAAGCCAACTAAAAAGAGAATTAAAAATAAAAAAGCTCTGAAGACCAATTGATGTAAAAAAGCAAGCTAGAGAGATTGATGACAAAAGGTCAAGACTGGATAGTCAGCCTTCATCATATAACTTTTCTTTGATAATTTGCTTGATATTATGAACATATATAGATTTTACACTTTTTCTAGCTTCTAAATCCTGCTCTTAAATTTATAACATATATACTTCATGCATAATTAACTTGGTTTGGATAGATAAACACATGAGAAATTATATTGCATATTATGTTTCTAATTATAGTAATTCCAATAAGTGGCTGTACGAGTAGTCAAATTCTGTATTGATATAGTTCTCCAGGAAAACAAAAACAAAATTAGATCAAATTTAGTTTCAAGTTCACTTAGTTAATTGGATGATCAATATTCATAAGCATTTTCTGCTATATATTATTTGAATTCCCTGTAGACTAGGGTTTTTATACAGAATACTGCTGGCTGTAAGTGAAATGAAAAAAAGATTTTCATCCTAAAAGTGCGAAAATAAACATAGGAATTCCTCGTGCATAACCTCATATAAATCCAAAGGAATGGCATAGAATCACTCATATTATCCAGTACCAGTTAAGTAATGTACTAATTCGTAACAGTCACAATATTTCAGCTTACGTGAGTCCATATTTGTATGTATATATACACACATATATACATATATTTATACGTAGGAAGCTATAACATTTTCACTTTACCAAAGGCCATATAAGTCCAATACGCTTTAGAGTTTTCTTTGGTTTATAACCCTAGACCCGGGGACCACTAATCTACTTTAAGTGGCTCAAAATTAACCCTTCCATCGTTTGTCGTTAAAAACTCCATCATTTCTCGATTCTGCGGACATTTTTGTATTGCTTCTTTTAATATTCAAATGGATGCATCATCTTCCCACAACTAAGGACGACTCAGTGTCAAACTTATTTTTCAAGTTTTTATTGAAGATTCTTGTCAAATGGAGACAAATTAAGGTGATCAGTATAATGGGAATAGTTTAGAATTGGGTTTCTAGGGTTTCTCTCCGATAAGTGTTTCTGATATATATATATATATATATA